GATTTGTGACTGTAGAACTGATCACCAAAATAGATCTACTTGAAACTATTTGAAAATTGTTTGATGACATCTTCCAATCAGTGCTACTGGGCAAAATAATTGAGCTGCTTTCAATGCTGCTAACGAAGGCAGGTTTGCTTGCAGATTTTATGATGATTCTGTATTTTATGCCACGTCTCTGAATCCAGCCATTTCCGCATATGCTTTGTCCAGTGAACACTTCCTGAAGCGTAAGGTCTCTACCAAACTCTTTGAAGGCATTTTCCCCATTGACAGATATTGTGTATGCCACTTGTGCAAAGTTGTACTCTAAAGCTTCAGTACCTTGGATGAATAGTTGTTTAATTGATGAATTGATGCTGTAGAATTTCCCATTGGCTACCAGACCATTGCTAAAGTCTTCGTAATAGTCTATGGAAGAGTTTAGAGATAAAGTTTCATTAGTTTGTAATGTTTTTGTAATTTTATTGTTGTGCCTAAGGAAATCATTCACAAAAATACTGCACTCATTTCCATAGCAATATTTTGTTTGTGAGCAAACACTGATTCCTATTTTCATGGATATATTGATTCCATTTAGAGAGGCTATTGAAATATTAATAGGAAGTATCAGTACTTGCAGGGCAAACTCTTTCATGCAATCTATGACTGTTATATTAAAGTGATTGTAGTTGCATTCAGGACATGGTGAATAGGTCCATTGCATATGAAGCTGATGCCCTTTAACATCATAAGCAACATCCAGGATCATCAAATTATCACAGACTCTATCTTTTGTGCTATCTACAATGTCAAAAAATAAAAACCCATTTAAAATGTATACCTCTTACTTGCATAATGGGACGAGATTATAATTACAGCTGCAGCAAATGCAGAGAACATTATTTCTTGTCTTTTGCAGCAAAAATCTCACTTGATAATTTCTAGTTATTAAAAATAAGTTATTAGGCTATTATTATATTAATAGTTATCGAGGTCAAAGGTTCAGTTAGGGCTCGAGCTAGCTAAGGGGTAAAAAAAGGCAAAGACCATGACAAAGAGAGACGTTCTGTGTCTGTTTGATATAGATGGTACCCTAACTCCGTCAAGACTGGTGAGTCAACGGCCCTCTGAGCTAGGAGGACCGTTCAATCATTAATGTGCATCATTGTTATAATAATTATTTTGAATATAAATAACACTAAATTAATGCCTTTACTCTAAAATAATAAATTACTTTTTATTAGGAGCATGTATTGTGGTGCCATTACATGCAATATTTGTCAAGGTCCATCCGACTAATGCAATAATAGTTTTATTCTGTATAGAACAGTCAATAGGAGATGAATTGGCAATCCATGATGATTATCGTTATCTGAGCTATATATAATTAGATTTATAATCTTACACAATCAACACTCTATCTAGATCTTAGACATATATTTATAATTATGGCTTCATAAACAGCCACAAAATCATATGCTTCCTCCCTTTCTCTCTCTCCTCTCTTTCTCTTGCTGTTTCTTTTTGTTAAGGTCATCAAACCAGAAATGAAGGCCTATCTTGCTGAGCTGAGGAAGAGAGTTGTCATTGGTGTAGTCGGAGGCTCAGACAAAGCAAAACAAGAGGAGCAAATGGGAGGCGATGGATGTATGTTAATGAACCAATGCAACTTGTACTTAGAACATGACCTCTTCATTGCAATTGTTTGTGTGGGTGGCTTTTCTCTACTGCACTATTATAACATTGCTGGTTTAGTTAGTCTGTTCTTTATTTATTTGCATGAATACCAGTAGCCTGTAAGACATCGTGATTCTTTTTTTCACAATTCTTTTTTCAATGATTCTTTTTTATATTTCTTTTTTATATTTCTTTTTTAGTGGTTGATATGTATGATTATGTTTTTTCTGAAAATGGACTGGTAGCATACAAAGATGGCAAACTAATTGGAAAGCAGGTAAGAGAAAGAAAAAGATCTAATCAGTGCTATATACATGTAATGAGTGTGCCATCATTGGCCTAGATGATGTGCTTGTATGAGTATCTTATTATCGATTTCATTGTTCTTCTTTTGAATTGTAGAGTATCAAGGATTGGATGGGAGAGGATAGGATCAAACGTTTTGTCAATTTCTGCTTGAGATATTTAGCTGATCTTGATATTCCTAAGAAGAGGTAAGGATTTGAATATGTAGCAGCAGAAATAGGTTCACACATTTTGTGCAAGAATGCAATCCTATCATGATACAAGTTACTCAAAAGACCATGTACTATTATAGTACATAGTCATCATC